GGAGGGGAGAGAGAGAGGAGGGGGGGAGAGAGAGAGAGACAGGCAGGCAGAACGAGAGAGAGAGAGAGGGGGGGATGAGAGGCAGGCAGACAGGCAGGCAGAACGAGAGAGGGGGGGGGGGTGAGAGGGCAGGCAGACAGGCAGGCAGAACGAGAGAGAGAGAGAAAGAGAGAGAGAGAGAGAGAGGAGGGGAGAGAGAGAGAGACAGGCAGGCAGAACGAGAGAGGGGGGGGGGGGGGTGAGAGGCAGGCAGACAGGCAGGCAGAACGAGAGAGGGGGGGGGGGGGGTGAGAGGCAGGCAGACAGGCAGGCAGAACGAGAGAAGGGGGGGTGAGAGGCAGGCAGACAGGCAGGCAGAACGAGAGAAGGGGGGGTGAGAGGCAGGCAGACAGGCAGGCAGAACGAGAGAGAGAGAGAGAGAGAGAGAGAGAGAAAGAGAGAGAGAGAGAAGAGAGAGAGAGAGAGGAGGGGAGAGAGAGAGAGACAGGCAGGCAGAACGAGAGAGGGGGGGGGGTGAGAGGCAGGCAGACAGGCAGGCTGAACGAGCGATAGGTATAGTATCCCCATACCTATACCGTTATTTTTGTTTTTCTTTTTTTAATCCATATTGCTAAAAAAAAAAAAAAAAAGAGAGAAAATAGGATTTTTATTTATATTTATTTTTATCTATTATGTATGTATTTTTTTTTACTTTTTTGTCTATTTGTTGTATGTTATTTTCCTTTTTTTATTATTTTGATTTATTTCATTATTATGGATATTGATGATTCATGTCATTAACTTTTCATAAAAAATTCCAACTAGTATTCTCTGAATCGAAGTCCTCCACCTTGACTTTTTCAGTATTTATTAATATCAAATTGTTCGAAATGACGATATTTGCCCCAAAACCCAGCATAATTAGGGCGTAACGAGACGTACATTCCCGAATCCCCCCCCGTCCTCACCCCCCCCCCCGTCCTCACCCCCCCCCGACCTCCTCCCCCCCCCCGTCCTCACCCCCCCGTCCTCACCCCCCCAAAAAAATTCCCACTCCTGCCCCTCCTACTAATAGCATTCCTACTCATACCTGTCTACTACTAATACTCCCTCACTAATACCCCCTACTACTCATGGTTGCTTACTCATGTCCTTTACTCTTACCTCTCTATTCTCTTTTACCACCTTATTCATGCTCCCTCCCCTCCCTTACCGCCGCCCTCCCTGGCATCCTGTCACCTACCACCCTGTCACCTTGTCACTATGTCCCCCTGTCACCCTGCTAGCCTGTCACCTTGTCACTATGGTCCCCTGTCACCCTGCTAGCCTGTCACCTTGTCACTATGGTCCCCTGTCACCCTGCTAGCCTGTCACCTTGTCACCTGTATTCCTGTCACCTTGTCACTATGTCCCCCTGTCACCCTGCTACCCTGTCACCTTGTCACTATGTCCCCCTGCCACCCTGCTACCCTGTCACCTTGTCACTATGTCCCCCCTGTCACCCTGCTACCCTGTCACCTTGTCACTATGTCCCCCTGTCACCCTGCTACCCTGTCACCTTGTCACTATGTCCCCCTGTCACCCTGCTAGCCTGTCACCTTGTCACTATGGTCCCCTGTCACCCTGCTAGCCTGTCACCTTGTCACCTTGTATTCCTGCCACCTTGTCACTATGCCCCCCTGTCACCCTGCTACCCTGTCACCTTGTCACTATGTCCCCCTGCCACCCTGCTACCCTGTCACCTTGTCCACTATGTCCCCCTGCCACCCTGCTACCCTGTCACCTTGTCACCTTGTATTCCTGCCACCTTGTCACTATGTCCCCCTGTCACCCTGCTACCTGTCACCTTGTCACCTTGTATTCCTGCCACCTTGTCACTATGTCCCCCTGCCACCCTGCTACCCTGTCACCTGTCACTATGTCCCCCTGTCACCCTGCTACCTGTCACCTTGTCCCCCTGCCACCCTGCTACCCTGTCACCTTGTCACCTTGTCCCCCTGCCACCCTGCTACCCTGTCACCTTGTCACCTTGTATTCCTGCCACCTTGTCACTATGTCCCCCTGCCACCCTGCTACCCTGTCACCTTGTCCCCCTGCCACCCTGCTACCCTGTCACCTTGTCCCCCTGCCACCCTGCTACCCTGTCACCTTGTCCCCCTGCCACCCTGCTACCCTGTCACCTTGTCACTATGTCCCCCTGCACCCTGCTAGCCCTGTCACCTTGTCACTATGGTCCCCTGTCACCCTGCTACCTGTCACCTTGTCACCTTGTATTCCTGCCACCTTGTCACTATGTCCCCCTGTCACCCTGCTACCTGTCACCTTGTCACTATGGTCCCCTGTCACCCTGCTACCTGTCACCTTGTCACTATGGTCCCCTGTCACCCTGCTAGCCTGTCACCTTGTCACCTTGTATTCCTGCCACCTTGTCACTATGTCCCCCTGTCACCCTGCTACCCTGTCACCTTGTCACCTTGTATTCCTGCCACCTTGTCACTATGTCCCCCTGTCACCCTGCTAGCCTGTCACCTTGTCACCTTGTATTCCTGCCACCTTGTCACTATGGTCCCCTGTCACCCTGCTACCTGTCACCTTGTCACCTTGTATTCCTGCCACCTTGTCACTATGCCCCCCTGTCACCCTGCTACCTGTCACCTTGTCACCTTGTATTCCTGCCACCTTGTCACTATGGTCCCCTGTCACCCTGCTACCTGTCACCTTGTCACCTTGTATTCCTGCCACCTTGTCACTATGTCCCCCTGTCACCCTGCTACCTGTCACCTTGTCACTATGTCCCCCTGTCACCCTGCTAGCCTGTCACCTTGTCACTATGGTCCCCTGTCACCCTGCTACCTGTCACCTTGTCACTATGGTCCCCTGTCACCCTGCTAGCCTGTCACCTTGTCACCTTGTATTCCTGCCACCTTGTCACTATGTCCCCCTGTCACCCTGCTAGCCTGTCACCTTGTCACTATGTCCCCCTGTCACCCTGCTACCTGTCACCTTGTCACCTTGTATTCCTGCCACCTTGTCACTATGTCCCCCTGTCACCCTGCTACCCTGTCACCTGTCACTATGTCCCCCTGTCACCCTGCTAGCCTGTCACCTTGTCACCTTGTATTCCTGCCACCTTGTCACTATGCCCCCCTGTCACCCTGCTAGCCTGTCACCTTGTCACTATGTCCCCCTGTCACCCTGCTACCCTGTCACCTTGTCACTATGTCCCCCTGCCACCCTGCTACCCTGTCACCTTGTCACCTTGTCCCCCTGCCACCCTATCCTTCTCCTCTCACTTCTTCCCTCATCGATTCCTCATCCAAAAAGACTAGGAACATTTCGTCTCAGACTTCAAAGAACCTCCTCCTCCTCCTTTCCTCTTCCTCCTATTCCTCCTTTTCACCTATCCAGACCTCAAAAAGTGCCTATGGCTTTGAGATTGAATGCGCAAAAAATGACACGTATTTTGCACAGGATTGTTATGAACGAATTTTCCTTTATGGTTGAGAGAGCCAAAGATAGTGGTGTTTTTTTCTGTTAACGATTCCATTTTTATCATTATTTTGTCTCTCTTCTTATGTGTCTATTTCTTTCTTTATCTGTCTGTTTATATATACATTATTTTTTTATGCATCTATTCCTTTATCTTACTATCATGTATACCTCTTTCATTCATGCCTTTATGTATCTTTCCTATCAATGAATTATCCAATTTTTTTTATTAATGCATTAAGTTACCTATCTTTTAACTGTTTTCTATATCTCTCTGCCTGTCTTATCTATCTATCTATCTATTCACCTATGTGTTAAGCATCTCTAGAATTTGTTGAATTTTTTATAGGAATTTCAGAATTTAGAAACGATTCACTGAGCTTTGCATTTATGAAATTGTGTGTGTGTGTGCGTGTGTATATGTCAGTGTGTATATATGCGTCTGTGCGTCTGTATGCATCTCTCAGAGTGAGTATGTGTGCATGCGTGCGTGCATGTATGTGTATGTCCATGAGCACGTTTCAGAATGTCAATGTGCGCGCGAGTGTTCCAGTGCATGCGTGTGTTTGCGTGAGTCTCCGGGCTATCGTGTGCCCAATTTCCAATACGCAATCTCGCCGAGAACGACAAACACGTCAACAAAAAAAAAAAAAAAAAATACAAACGATGCCTGTTACACTGACGTAGAAAAAAATGGTACTTGAAATCCCAATGAAAATGACACCTGAGGAAGAACTGTCTTGTAATGTTCTTGTGATCTTTGTGTTATTTTCTTTTCAGGGGGGGGGAGGAAGGGACAAGGGGGAGGTTGGGTAAGTGGGGGGGAGGAAGGGGGAGGTTGGGTAAGTGGGGGGGGTGGAGATGGGGAGGAGGAAGTTGGAGAGAGGAAAGGGAAGTGGGGGGGGGTGGAGATGGGGAGGAGGAAGTTGGAGAGAGGAAAGGGAAGTGGGGGAGGAGTGAGTTAGGGACAAGGGAGATGGGGGAGGGGAAAGATTAGGGAGGAAGGAAGTGTGGGGGTGAAAGGAAATTAATTAAGCTCAGGATTTAATGTTCTTCCGTTGCGCTGCTGACTGGATGATGAATGGGATTTCTGTGTGCTTCTATTTATCAATCTATCTGTCTGTATCGGTTTGTCTCTCTGTGTCTCTTTGTCTGTCCTTCTGTCTATCTATCAGTCAGTCAGTCTCTTTCTTCTCTCTCTCTCTCTCTCTCTCTCTCTCTCTCTCTCTCTCTCTCTCTCTCTCTCTCTCTCTCTCTCTCTCTCTCTCTCTCTCTCTCTCTCTCTCTCTCTCTTCTCTCTCTCTCTCACTCTCTCTCTTTCTCTCTCTTTCTCCTTCCTTCATTTACCTCTGTGTGTATCTTAGTGACCGTGTGTGTATATGTGCGCGCGTGTGTGAGTGTGAGTATGTGTGTGTGTGTGCGTATATGTGTGTGTGTGTGTGTGTGTGTGTGTGTGTGTGTGTGTGTGTGTGTGTGTGTGTGTGTGTGTGCGTGTGTGTGTGTGTGTGTCTTGAGAACGAGATTCCGAGGCATTGTTTACATCCCAGTTGAGCGCGTGTGTCCTTCGAAGCGGAGAATTTTGTTGAGATTATTCTAGACTGTTTTTGAAGGAATGGAAATGGACATAGAGGATAGGAAAGCGAAATAAGAGAGAGAAAATAATGTGAAGTTTTCCTTAGGAGAATTTGATTGGAATTGGTTTTAGAAGACTTTTTTGCAAAAGTGAGAGAGAGGAGGGGTGGGATTGAGAAAGGACGAGGGGGAGAGAGGGAGAGAGAGAGAGAGAGAGAGAGAGAGAGAGAGAGAGAGAGAGAGAGAGAGAGAGAGAGAGAGAGAGAGGAGAGAGAGAGAGAGAGAGAGAGAGAGAGAGAGAGAGAGAGAGAGAGGGACAGAGGGAGAGAGAAGAGGGGTAGGGAGATGGGATATATATAGAGAGAGGGTGAAATACATATATATATATATATATATATGTGTATGTGTGTGTGTGTATGTGTGTGTGTGTGTGTGTGTGTGTGTGTGTGTGTGTGTGTGTGTGTATGTGTGTGCGTGTGCGCGCGTGTGTGTGTATGAGTGTGTGTGTGTATAGAGAGAGAGAGGGTGAAACAGTCAGACAGATGATATTAGTACATATGATATTCACTTTGTCATTCGAAGAACATCAAATACCTTCATTAATATGAAAATAAATTAATGTTTGTGAATAGTGCTTCATTGTCAATAATGAAGAGATCAAATATTATCAATTTCGTAATTGAAAGTGTCAAATATATCAAAAATATTTAGTCATACTTATCAGCATCCCAAACTGACGCAGGTAATATTGCAATCATTGCAAACTGCCAGTCCCTTGGTCTGTTAATGTTAGTGTTAATGAGAGAAGCGCATTCGAAAGCACGCACCCACGCACGTACACATAGCCAATAAAAAGTCACGCACAAACACCGTGATTTATGTTGGCGCACATGAACATTCGTACAACTCGTGTGTGAGTAGAATCGGCCTAACGGGAATAATGAAATACAATGATGATAAAATGTGCATTTTTTTATTTTACCCACGAGCAGAAATATTACCACACAAAGACAAACAGGGAGTAATTAGATTCAAGGAAAAGATTTGAAAGGATACCAAAGCCATGCAGCCTGGTAGAAAAACAAACGAGAGAGAGGGGGGAAGGAGAGTGAAAAAGAGCGAAGGAGAGAGAGAGAGGGAGGGAGGGAGGGAAAGGGGACCGAGAGAGAGAGAGAGAGAGAGAGAGAGAGAGAGAGAGAGAGAGAGAGAGAGAGAGAGAGAGAGAGAGAGAGAGAGAGAGAGAGAGCCAGAAACAGAGAGAGAGAAAGGAAGGAAAACAGACAGACAGACAGACAAACAGAACATCAGTCTTCAAACCACTTTTCCCGAGCGACTCCCAAAGCCAGAATCATCGAGACGTTTCCCACACCCCTCCCCCCCTCCCCTCACCATCCCGAGCCGTGAAGAGACTGAGGAAGGGCGTGGCTGAATATGGACGTTTTTGATCGTCAGCCCTTTTGACTGCAGGGTTGACTGAGAACGTTTCGGGCTGACTGTAGTTGTTGATAAAGGACTTTCTTTTTACATTGTGGGCGTGGTCAATTTCGAACGTTTCTGACTGAGGGCATGGTTGACTGAGATCGTTTCAGATTGTGGGCGTGGTTGATTGTAGACGTTTGTGTGGGTGTAAATATCTTAATAATTTAATCATTTTAGACTGTGGGTGTGGTTAACTGTGGGGGGCTTAACTGCGGCATCAGGTTGTGGCCTTCGGTTAACTATGTGACAAACGTTGACTGTGAGGCGATTTTTAAAATCACAAACGTTTTTTTCTTTTTCTCTTGTTGTTATTGTTATTATTGTTTACTGTAACTGGGCGTAAACGTTTTTTTGTTTTTGTTTTTTTGCGGCGAATGACTTACACTCTAGCCTTGGTAAATTGTGCTAGAAAGGGCGTAGGGACGACTTCGTGGCGCCTTTGCCCGCGAGCGTTTTTGACGATGGGCGTGGTCGACGGTGGGAAGGTTGCCGTGGCCCCGCCCTCTGGACCAGCGTGGTGGCAGAGGCGGCGGCGGTGGCGGAGGGGCCCTACAGGTACCGACACAACAACTTTAATGAATAGGGCACTCGCTCCTAGCTCCTAGTTCCTAGCTCCTCCTCCTGCTAGTGTTGTTGCCACTGCCATTGACGTCTCTCTCTCTCTCTCTCTCTCTCTCTCTCTCTCTCTCTCTCTCTCTCTCTCTCTCTCTCTCTCTCTCTCTCTCTCTCTCTCTCTCTCTCTCTCTCTCTCTCTCTCTCTCTCTCAGTGGGTCCTCTTTGTCTCTCTCTATATTTGTATCTATCTGTCTGTCTATAGCTACTTGTTTATCTATCTATCTATCCTGTTATCACTTCTTATATTTCCATCTTTCTCCATCCCTCTTATCTACCTATCTTCCTCTATCTCCATCTATTTATTTCTCTTCCTCTCTCCCTCTCTCTCTCTCTCTCTCTCTCTCTCTCTCTCTCTCTCTCTCTCTC